TGATGGGAGGCCGACTAGAATGGCAATGAGGTCTGGAGATGCAGACACAGCCATTGACTTGACATTTGTCTCTCAGTCGTCGGTTTTAGATGTTAAATGGACTGTCCTGAATGACCATGGGAGTGATCACTTACCATGTTCAGTTTTGATTTCTAAACTCAGTAAGGTTAAGGTTGGGAGAGCACGCAAGACCTTCCAGTATAAGTGGACCAACAACCTACTTGGACGCCTCAGACAGGGAGCATGCAAAAGAACTTCCAGAACTAATTTTCTACAGCCCCCATGGTGGACTCCAGAAGTAGAACAGGCATGGAAGGCAAAGAGAGCCGCAGTGAAGCAGCTAAAGAAAGTACGACAGACACCCTCAAGCTCACTAGAGGAAGTGGAGATGGCGGAGAATGTGAAAAAAGAAAAGGTGGAGGTTTTCAAGCGCTGTGCTGCAGAGGCCAAAAGAGCAAAGTGGGAAACTTTTGTGAATGTTATGGGAGGCGATAAAACATTGGGGTAATTCTGGAAACTGCAAAGACAGATGCTAAGAAAAGATCGGCCTATGACAGTCGAAACAATTTGTAGAGACGATGGTGTGCGTGTGACAACAGACAATGAGAAAGGGGAGGCTTTTTTCCATAGGTTTATAGCTCAGACAAATCATAATTATGTAGACATCAGGGATGCAGTTAGAAAGGAGTTAGCTGGCAGCTTGAAGAATATGCATTATGAAGACATGATAGAAGTGGAAGATATCAAACAAATGTTGAAAAAAGCAAAAGACACTGCACCAGGGCCTGATGGTGTCAGGTATGGTCACATGAAGGCTTTGACAGATGTAGACCTGGCAGAGATGGCCGACTGTTTTAACAGTATTTAGACAGCATCAGTACCGCAAGACTGGGTGCACAGCTATCTAATACCACTAACAAAACCTTTTAAAGATCAATCTAAGCTTAGTGGCTTTAGAATCATCACCTTACAAAACACATTTGGGAAGGTCTTGGAGAAGATAGTTGCCGTAAAGATACAAGAATTTTTGGAAAGGGGGAAGCTTCTCCCAAGAGGTCTGGGAAGTTACAGGCCAGGAGAGGATACTTGGGCAAATGCGGCCACTTATGCTTTTGACGTTTATGAAGGGTCCCAGAACAGACTGGAAACTATGGCGGTAGGACTAGATCTCGAGGATGCTTATAACAGAGTGAGATACGACATCTTAATGACAGCACTGAGGGAGAAGGAAGTCAATCCATGGCTGGTGAATTGGGATGCAGCTGTCCTGTATTCACGTCGGGTTGCTCTCCGACTGGGCTCATGGACCTCTGAACCATGCACTTTGGCCCCAGGACTGCCACAGGGATCCGCCATCTCGCCTGTGCTCTTCAACGTGTATACGAGCAAGATTGCAAGCCTAGAAGCACCAGGAGTTGGAAGGATACTGACTTTTGCGGATGAAATACTTGCATATAGGCAGGGGGAAGAGAGGGAACAAACAGCTCGGGAGCTACAAGCGACAGTAGACAAAGTGACTGAGTGGTGTACAGAAATGAAGGCTGTCATCCACCCGGAAAAGGCGTCTGTTTCGTGGTGTTCTCTGGACAACAGAATCGTAAAAACTAATGTCTTAAGTCTCACGATAGATGGTAGAGACGTCAACAGAGAGAGCAAACTGAAGTATCTGGGAATTACATTTGACAGGAGCCTGTCATTTAAGGACCATATGGAGAGTGTTGTGGCGAGACGCCAAAAAGGACTTAGTGCACTTAAGACTTTGGCTGCAACTGACATAGAGCAGAGAATGCTTTTCAAACTATATCAGCACCTGATCCTGTCAGTGGTGGATTATGGCCTGGGACTGCTTACCGTCTCAATGAGTCAGATGGACAAACTAGAGCGCATACAGAACGCGGCTATGCGGGTCATTCTGGGTTGCACCAGAGACACCCCAGTGGTGTGTATGCGATACATCTTTGGTTTGCCGACGGTTGCAGGTAGGCACAAGGTGATGCAGGCGAAGTCATATCTCAGGGTAGCTGCAGACACAGACCACCCTCTGCATGAAGCTCTGGGTGCAGTTAAGGGTCAGCGGCTGATAAGAGGGAGGTCATGGGTGGCTCAGGCAGAAGACACAATCAGACAGGTTTGCATCCTTGAGAACATTAGGCAAGGAGAGGAGTGGGTCAAAGTGCCACCTGAGCAGTCATACTTGTGTAGAGTCATAATCACGCTAAGCCGGGAATGCAGAGACTGGCCAGCAGGTGCCACAGAGGTGGAAATTCAGCAATTAATTCAAGATAATGCTTGCTTAGAGGATTTGATCATTTACACAGATGGTTCAGTGTCAAGAGGCAAAAGAAGTGCTTGGGGCTTTTTAGCAAAAGTTAATTGTCGACGTTTGGTGCAGGAGAGCCTAACATGTGATACCATATCATCCAGCTTAAGAATGGAGGTGGAGGCGGTCACTGCAGCTTTCCGCTTGCTAGAGAACACGACACACACACGCATTGTAATTGTAACTGATTCAGAAAGCATGCTGAGGAAGATCAGAACAGGAATGCTTCGTGCAGAGTGGCATGCTTCGCTGCGGAGGACACGAGTGAGGAGTATTGTGTGGATTTTTACCGGGTGACGCCGGTGTGTTGGGAAATGAACAGGCAGACAGACTGGCTGGCTCTGCACAACTTGGTGGAATACTGCCACATGATAGGGCAGACGTGGTTAGTGCCTTGGGGGAGAGCGTGTACAATGCGGAGGAGCAGATGGATCACAACAGTCTGGTGAGATTGATGCAGTTGGGGGTGACAAGAGGTTCTAGCAGAAGCTCGTGGCTCAGAGGAAAGGCAAGACGGACATTTAATCAGAAAGCTACTGGCACCATTAGTATCGGAACTCTTCGCTGGCTGCTGAAGATGGAGACGGAGCGCTTATGGGAATGCCCCGGGTGCTGTGATGTCGGTTCTTGAATCAAATCAAATCAAATCAAATCAACTTTAATTGACATAATTTTTAAAAAAAAATGTTAGTTGCGTATTCTTTACAGGACGTCGCAGAACCAACTCCAGCATTTATTGGTTGGTGTTTTTTTCTCGGCAAATTGTACAAAAGTAGTTTGTTCATTGCTTTCTGAACCGTCAGCTCTCGGTGACTACTGTCGAAACCAGCGCTAGATAAATCGTCGTCCCCCGCAGGGATCGAACTCGGCACCCCGGCATTACGAAGCGCGGTTCGCAACGCCCAAGCTACAGACGCTGATATGGAGGTCCCTCAGAACAATATTGCCCCTTTTCCAAAAACATTTCTTTGCAATCTTCTTCTTCATCTTCTTGGCGCTCATCAGCGGTAAACTCCGGCGAATAGTTCTGGCTGTTCGTCCACTTCTAGACTTTAGGCTTGTTCCACAATTACAATGTTGCCTGTATATCCGTTTTACAAAAATGCTTATTTGTATACAGACTACTAGTTCCTTGCATCTCAGGCAGATGCGTCCCAACTTCGAAGGGACAATTCTTAATTAGACGACTTTTACGATGGCTTGATGGGGAGGCAGTAGGTGTACCCCCCCCCCTCTCTCTCTCTCTCTCTCTCTCTCTCTCTCTCTCTCTCTCTCTCTCTCTCTCTCTCTCTCTCTCTCTCTCTCTCTCTCTCTCTCTCCCGAACTAAATGGGGCTCTGGAATCAACACAGTGAGAGTCCATAAAGTGAATGCTGTCGGTATGATGATACTGCACAATACCCATCGAAGGCCGATATTTGTATAAAAAGATTGCACTTACCATGTGTTCATTACGTTTCAAGCTTGGAAACATAACTTTTAACTTTCTTGACCTTTTACAAGAGTGAAGAGATCATTATAAGAATTGAATGCACGAAGCTGTTTGAAAGACTTGAGCTAACAAATTAATGAACATTTACAAATATAACAAAACTCACATACGTTGTATATCCCAAATAAACCTACATTTGCAATATATTCTTCGTTACATTTAATAAAAAAGCAAAACATATTTATCAATATTGTGAATATTTTAGATCATTGAACATCTTATTAAAATAATCACTTTTGGGTAGTTCAAAACAAAATAAAAATGAAGGTAATAGTAAAATTCATAACTCAACTTCTCAGATTTGTAAAGATTACGTAAATAATCTCTTTCCTTTGGCGCCTCACTATTCAGCACTTGCTTATCTCCGTTGAAAATTGTCTATAATTGTCAATCGTTACACATGTGTGCATCACATCACGATAATCATTTAGGGATATTCGCAAGTTGCTGCTAGGAAAACAGCATGCAATTTTTAAATGTCAGCGACAGACACGAACATGTGGCAGCTACAGGGAATATCATCCACTGCCAAATAGTTTTCTAGTCTGGGTATTTCCACACACGCTGTTGCAGGTCTATATTATGGTATCACCATGACAATTGTATCCTTCGCAACGGCCATGACAGTTTTCGTGCTGAACATCCACCACAAGGGCACACGTGGACGCCCAGTGCCTAGGATCATGAAACGGATTTTCTTTGGCATTGTGGCCAAAGTGTTTTTTATAACTTTACAACTGAGCGAAGATTGGAGTCCCAGCTCAAAACAAAGCCAAGGTTCCAAAGGAGTCAAAGGCATGGTGAGTACCCCTAAATGTATATATTAAATGTGAGTGTCATAACTTGTTTTGTAATTGTAATTGCAGGGGCGTCCTAATTCGGGGTGCAAAGAGTGCACGATACACACACTGAAAGGCCTGTTGGACAGAGGCTAGGCTTTGGTTACTAGGCCCTAACCCCTAAAGCCGTTACTCAGAGGGGGAGCTATATAAAACTTTGTACACAGACAGAACTTAAGCTGGACACGTCCCAGAGCAGTTGCCCCTAATTTATTTTGATTTTGAAGCGCTCTTCATTGCTCTGAAATTGTACGTCCCTGCAGGTCACAGTCACAAAGGCATCAAAATCGGTTACAGGTTCTTGTAGATGTTTTTATTATAAAAGTTTCCTTTTAACAACCTTCTTGCAGGTCTGTATTACGGTATCACCATAGCAATTGTATCGTCTGCGACCGCCATGACAGTTTTTGTTCTCAACATCCACTTCAAAGGCTCCCGCGGACGCGAAGTTCCCAGAATACTCAAAAAGATATTTTTTGGCGTGGTGGCCAAACTTCTTTTTCTGAACCTGGATCTAGAGGATGTCCCTACGAACCCAAAAAAGGGTCAGACTCCCAAAGGAGCGGTGAGTAGAGGGCTGGGTTTTGTTGGTATTTGCAAATTTGGAAAAGAATTGCATGCTCTTATATGATAACCCCCGTACTAATGGTATATAATGACTTTGTGTTTAACAGTTACGATGTTCTGATAACTGTGCGTGTAATAAAGTGACTCTGATTTAGTGACTTCGTCTATCAAAGTATTGCCTTGATTTTTTCATTTGATTTTTTACAGCGTTACCTTCATATAGTAATTTAATGTTACGCATTACGTCGATTAGGCAACTTCATATGTTATAGCGTCAGTATGATTTATTGATTTCATATGGATCACCAGTACGTTGATTTTGTAACGTCGTGTGTGGTATGATACTTGTAGTGCGTTTACAAAACGCCTGCCGTTGTATGGACGAAAATTTCTTCTTAATTACTTAGCCTAGGATTTTTTTTTTTCTTTTCATGGGCTCCTATATTAATCTCAGTGTTACTTTTTTAATATACATAAATAATATTTAGACTGATATTTGAATCGAAAAAGACGTTTTCTTTGATATTTTTATCAACTTAGTTTTTTTTTTAAATAGTTAGGTAACAAGCGCATTTTACGTTACCAACTAAGGGGTGACCCGTTTGCTATGAAGCTGAAACCAAGATTACCAACGTGAATTATGAGTATAACAGAACTCAGAAGCATTTCTGCAATTGTTTACCCGAGGGCAGGATGTGGCGGATGATCTCCAGATGGGTGTATCGGATGCAGGACATCTTGTTTGTGATCGAGAAGTTTTCCGGAGGGTTGTTATGGGAGCATGGTTACTGCAAGGGACATGCTACTGACTGACTGGCTGACACTGATTTTATAGCGGTTAACCGTTGTGCTCTTATTCAGTATATCCTTAAAAAAAAACACACACACACATACACACGAGCGCGCGCGCACACACACACACATAAGAGCAACGTGCGTATTTTTGAAAGATCGATTGATTATTCATTTCAAATGTTTGCTGTATAATTCTTAAAATATCACCCAGCAAGAATCATTGTGTTCTTATATAAGCAAAAACACAATCCAATTACTTATTATGAAGGCAAAAAGATTTTGACAATGTTAAGAATTAAGTCATCATCATCATCATTATCCCGTAACACTGCGTGTCGTTGGGTCACCAGTTTCTGTTGACTGTCTGGTCAGCTCTCTCCATCTTTGGGGTTCAGTTGCGATGAACTTCCTGGTTGCATGCCTCAGGCCTGTCCAGTCAGTCAGGTTTTGTAACCAGACCTTCTTGTTCTGCCTTTTCTCCTCCTTAAGAATAAATTGAATATTAACATATAGTTTGATCCTTTTATATTCGAATACAGCTGATATATATATATATATATATATATATATATATATATATATATATATATATATATATATATATATATATATATTCAATATCGGCACGAATTTAAAAACACTATAGCGGATCCACGGTGATTTTGTTATTTCAACCACAAGAGTGTTAAGTCATTGTCAATTATGTTAACACACTACAATAAGAGGCGAGGAACCAAAAAGTCTTCACACAATTAAATTAAATCTATAAAACGGATGTTGCATAGGAGAAATCTTATTAAAGTGGTGTTTAAAGGTGAAAGAATTAACTTATTTGTATCCAGTAAGGCTCGGTCTCTCTCCGCAGAACGTTTGTTCTCACTCCGAAAGCGTAACACCAGGCACGAAACCTTGTAGCTCTGGCGAAGACCCCCACGATCTTAAGAAGCACATGCCTTCATAAATGGAGGGACGAGGTCCCGAACCGAACTCACGACCTCAGAGCTCGAGGTAAATGACTTAATCACTTCGTGGTGGAGATTCCACGGATATCCAAAAATAATCTACCATTATGGACAAAGAAAAAATTAGTTCCATCTTTCTGTCAGGCACGATGTAAGTGAAGTAAGTAAAGGGCTCTTTTCCACGCCTTTAGACGTATAAAGCATATAGGGCTAGACAAGATGAATGATGTGGTCAGCATCACGCCGGCCGCCTTTACTTTCCATGACTGCACCTGGTACCCACTCATTGCTGGGTCTACCTGGGAACAAAGGTCATTTTTTTAAGAAAAAAATAGTCCGGCTCCACCAGGGAGAAAACCCACGACCTTCCGATCCGCAGGCGAGCCGCTATGCCACGGCGACTCCCAAGCACGATGTGGGCTCGTGTTTAAGTTACAGTTCACTAATACAGTATGGAAGAACAGTTGCACTGAACTCGTGCTCTTAGATGGAACTCAGATGCTATCGCCGAAACTGCCAGGCAGTGGGCACTAGGGACCAAGAATGGAAGAAGCCAACATGAAAAACCTGTCTGCAGAACTGCGGTAACAGAAATGAAAATCAGGAACCACAACAGCTCGAGCACGGTATAGAGGCTAATCTTGCGTAAAGAAATGGTGCGGTGGGTTCAGAAAACAGCTGAGCCCGTTTACCAATTTAAGAGAAAGCGCCCCCCCCCCCCCTTTTTTTCTTCCCTTTTCTCCCCAAGTTAATTGGATGACTAAAAGTACCTAATCCCCCATGTCCCTATACCCTTGGCTCTTGGGGAACCTGTTTGGATGTTTTGTTCTATTTTTTACCCCATCAGTCCCACAAGTTGTCACAGTTATGTTCTAGACCTGTTCTTTACGTAATGAGGCCGGGTATAATCATTTTTCTTGTGTAGACTTTATGTCTGAATCTCCTTTCAAAAAAGTTTGTAAGTGGCTTTTGCTGTCCATAGTATGTTTACAGCTAGCAGGCTTGTCTGTCTGCCTGGCGGTCATGTTTTCAAATCTCCAGCCAGGCGGGGATATGTTTTCAACTGATCTAGGTCAGGGCTGTTCAACAAGCGGCCCGCGAACCGAATCCAGTCCACAGAGGTTTAGCAAGTGTCTCATGGATCATTGCTAATTGTATTGAATTAATTATCTTTATGTGCCGGGTCTCGAGCCTCTGGTCTGAAACGATCCCCATTTTCAGCATTTTGCCTCTTGAGTTAACGTAGTCAAAAAGCCCTCGTCTATGCTAATCTTTACTAGGTAATGGTTTGCGGATACGAACACGTTTAAGAGGTCCTTGATAACATTTTACAAAACCCGAAAAACGAAAACCCTTAACTATAACTGCAATCCTGTTGAGACTATGTCTGTTTTTTTTTCTTCTCCGCCCTTTAACTCCTGTTGCATAGGACTATCAACTCTCTGTTTTTTTTTTGTTTGCCCTCCTTCCCATGTAAAGCTTTAACTGTTCTCCTCAACGTGTCTTCTATCCGATGGCAGCGTCGCGTCTTCATCTCTTGATTTACAGGAATGTGTTTAGTTCTCTCCCAAGACTCAACATTAGTGATTCTGTCAAACCATTTAATTTAGTTAATTTCCTCAATTCCACGCAGGCACCTGTTAATGGTGGTGTGTAGTTTATTAGTGATTATTTTCGTTGTTCTCTGTGTTTCCGCTCCAGACAGCCGTGCTGATTTCGTTGTTCTCTGTGTTTCCGGCAGCGCCGTGCGTCGTTGTTCTCTGTGATTCCGCTCCAGACAGGAATGCTGATTTCGTTGTTCTCTGTGTTTTTCCGCTCCAGACAGCCGTGCTGATTTCGTTGATCTCTGTGTTTCCGCTCCTTTACATTTTTCGTTGTGTGTTTCCGCTCCAGACAGCCGTGCTGATTTCGTTGTTCTCTGTGTTTCCGCTCCAGACACCTGCTGATTTCGTTGTTCTCTGTGTTTCCGCTCCAGACAGCCGTGCTGATTTCGTTGTTCTCTGTGTTTCCGCTCCAGACAGCCGTGCTGATTTCGTTGTTCTCTGTGTTTCCGCTCCTGACAGCCGTGCTGATTTCGTTGTTCTCTGTGTTTCCGCTCCAGACAGCCGTGCTGATTTCGTTGTTCTCTGTGTTTCCGCTCCAGACAGCCGTGCTGATTTCGTTGTTCTCTGTGTTTCCGCTCCAGACAGCCGTGCTGATTTGACTTTAGAGTTAAAAATATTTTATTTAGTATTAGTTTTAATTTCCTTTCACTTCCACAAATGCCACAGTGAAACAAAAACTTTTTAATCTATTGGTTTTATTTTTTATTTTTTACTAGTGATATAATACTTTTATATTATAATAAGTTCCCGTGGCAATCCAACGAGAGAAAAAAAACAGGGGGCATGAAGGGGTGGGAAGGAGAGAACCTTGTTTTAAAATTATATTAAATTATGCCGTATGCCAAACAATGCCCCACTTTTAGATTGCATTTCGAAGTGTCCCTGGCCAATTAGTAAATGGGCAGCTTTTTTTTCCCCCTCTGATGGGAATGGCAGAAAATGTCTCTAGAGAGTCAACGAGAAATATATTAATTCGATTATTTTATTATAAAAAACGTCATTCCCTTAGAGGTTAAGGTGTCTGATTTTCGACAACTCATTTGGAAACAAAAAGCGGGAAAACAAATTGTTTATTTACTGAACAGTCGATGCCAGGAATATTTATTGTAGACGATATCTGTATATTGAAGAAGGAAAAATAAAATAACAGTGAAAACGTCAGGCAGCACAAGTGAGGAAAAAATCCTTGTCAGGCTAACAGCGCATGGTGCTTATGATAAAAGTGAAGGCGCATCGTGCTTATGATAAAAGTGAAGGCGCATCGTGCTTATGATAAAAGTGAAAGCGCATCGTGCTTATGATAAAAGTGAAGGACCATTTTCCACACCTTCAGCTGTATTAGGCATATAGGGCTAGACCTATATTTTATTTACCAGTCGGCACTTGGTGGGTGATGTGGTCAGCATCACGTCGGCCGCCTTTACTTTCCAGGACTTTTCCCTGGTACCCACTCAAGGCTGGGTCGACCTGGGAGCCAAGGTCATTTTTTGAAGAAAAAGTATGGCTTTGTGAGGACCCGAACCCACTACCTTCATATCCCAGGCGAGCGTCTAGCCGCTACACCACGGCGGCCTCCATCGTGCTTATGATGCTAGGCTCAGATGTGTAAAGACAAACCAGCACTCCATGGATGATGATGATGTCTGATTCACACAGGCTGACTTTACTTCCCAGAGCATCTCCTGGTTGATACTGTAGGATAGGTCGTATTGGAGCCCTGAATAAAGTAAGTAAGTAAATGACATTTTTCCACGCCTTTAGGCGTATAGGGCATATAGGGCTATATTTTAAAGACCAATTGGCACAAGATGGGTGATGTGGTCAGCATCACGCCGGCCGCCTTCACATCTTGGGACTCAACCCGGTACCCACTCGAGGCTGGGTCGACCTGGGTGCCAAGGTCATTTTTTGTAAAAAAGTCCGTCTCCACCAGGGACCGAACCCACGAGCTTCCGATCCGCGGGGAGCATCTAGCCGCTCTGCCACGGCGACTCCCTAGGGCCATGAATAAAATACATAAATCACCTATTGCGGATTCCTCGGTTACTTCTCAACGTTCACTGGCTTTAAAGTCTGGAGCCCACTTCTGGAATTTAATTTTGTTCCAGAACTTGAGTTGTGCGTGCACATCTGTTTTACAAAAATGGTTTATTTCTGTGCAAACTGGTGGCTCCTTGCGTCGCTTACTAACGCGCTCTAATTTCGAAGAAAACGCGCCTAATTGTTCAACTTTTACAACATGACTGTTTAGGGGTGATGTGGGCGATTTTTTCTTCACACTGAAGCTGCAGAACATACACGGCAGAAATGGGGAAGGGAGCGGTCAAGACCCGGAGTCGACAGTCATGCGATTCCTCGCTGAAGTCAGTCATTTAACTGTCTTACTGCCCTTACGTCGGCTCTGTGGCTAAGTCGATGCGAACGCTTCGTAATGCCGGGATGCCGGGTTCGTTCCCAGCTGCAGGCCATGCGCCTTGCGTTGGTTTCGACAGTTGCATCAAGAAAGCCGACCGTCCAAAAGGCAATGGCAAACTACTGGACGTAAATTTGCCTAGAAAAACCACACAACAGCCAGGGGCTGTTAGGGTTGGTTCTGCAACGCCCTGTAAAGGATGCGCAACTTAACAGAACTGCCACAATAGGGCCCCGGAACCCACACAGGGGCTGCTTACATATAATTAGTCTTGTCTAATATTAACATCCGTCAACTGATACTAAGTGGTCAAATATCGCAATTATCGATTTTGTTATGAGTCATGTGGTAAAAAAAAAAACTAGACACGAAAACCGGATACACAGTTCAAGGTATCAAAATAATAATCGCCAATGCATGCTAGTAATTAGTTTTACTAAAATGAAAGTCGGTCAAGCGTTTTATTTAATTACAAAACACGCGTCAATTATAATATGGCAGCAAAGGGGAGATAATCACGCAAAGAGTTCTCTGCTTTCTGATTGTGAAAAGAACGTTTCAGTGCGAATGTATTGACTAGCGTTGGATTCACATGACGCTGGGTGCATGAACGCAAATGTGTGTATGTGCGTGTGTCAGGAGTGTTTTAGAATGCAAGGATACTTTCTAAACACGTCTTCGTTTCGTAACTTGCCACTTTCTCGCCGGAAGTTTTTATCATTTTAGTTTCAAAATCCTTTTCAGGTGACTTGTCCATGGAGTGTGGATTGTCAGCTTCTAAAGCGGGTGATCAGTTCTTTTCTTGAGTTTATATATATCAAGAAGATTTCATAGCCTTTTGATCGTTTAACTATTATTCTTATCTCCAATGTTTCACTTCTATACATCAGAAATGTTTGAGAACGTTCTTTCTCGGCTCTTTCGAGAAAGACATTTGGCATCAGTTTATTCTTCGTCCTGGCAAACGTAGCTTAACTTTCTCAGCACCGTGCAATTCATTATATATAGGTTAGTTAATTACTCTATATACGGTATACATTCTTTAACGTTTTCCTACCACATTCTCTCCTAATGATGCAAGTAGCATATGAGGGTGTCTACTGGTGGTATTTTTCGGGGGTTGCTGCTGAAGATGAGGACGGAGCATATATGGGAATGCCCCGTATGCTGTGATGTTAATTCTTGACTCGACTCAACTCAATTCGGGGATTGCTTTAGATTATAAAGTAAAATACTCGGTAGTGATTGCGTATGTCAAATTACATAATTTAGTCAAGACACATGCCTGATCCGACACAGTTGAGATAGTCTCAGATAGTAAGTATGTAAGTATGTCTGTATGTATGTAACGGAGCACATTTTCACCACTGTGACGTGGGCACGGCAGATATATTTATATAACAATCGTTTCTCAGTGGATGATGTGGTCAATATCACTCAGGCTGCCTTTACTTCCCACAACTTTACCTGACACGCATTGAAGACTAGGTTTACCTGGAAGCCAGGGTCATTTCAAAATATTTAAAAATCCGAGTGAATGGGAATTCAAACCCGAGATTTTCGAGCCGGAGTAGGAGCATCTAACTGCTACGCCACCGGGGCTTTCATTAGTGCCCGGTGGTCAGCCATAATTACCCATATTTGTGACTATAGTAGGTGATAATGTGGTGGTCGTGATGATAGGTAAGTAAGTAAAGAACCCTTCTCCGCGCCTTTAGATGTATTGGGCAAATAGAGCTACATCTATATTTTATAGATCACTAGGCACCTGTTCGGTGATATGATCAACCTCACGAAGGCCGTCTTTACTTCTTAGAGCTTCACCTGGTACCCATTTAAAGCTAGGTCAAGCTGGAAGCTAAGGCCATTTTTTTTTAAATCAAAAAATATATAAAAGTTCGGTTCCACTAGAACCTGAACACACAACCTTGAAAACTGCAAGCGATCGTCTAGCCGCTACAACGCGGCGACTCTTGATGATAGGTAGGTTAGCATTTTCTAAATTTGTTATTTACAAAGAACTACTATGTGGTGTTTAAATAGACTGCGTTGACTTTAAGCCTATACGGCTCCGAATATCTCCGCAGAGCGACTGCTAGCCTGTCGACGGCTTCGAATATCTCCACAGAGCACACAGCTACGTTAACACCAACAATGACGCCCAGAAAATTCCGAAATATTTGTAGTCGCGAACTAAATAACGGAGTCAGAAATCGAACTCCAAACCCTTCAGAGCGCGAGGCTTAACCCCTTCACCATCAAAGCTTCCTTGTCGATGTTAGCTCCAGTTTTTAGTTACCAATGGGAGAATTATTTAGTTAGTATTAAAGGTAGCTCATTGTTGGTTCTGTTTCAAGTCATAATTTGGTTATTCATATGCTTGCTGTTGCTTTCTTCCTTGTCAGCAACCAGTGCCACAGAACGACTATTATGCTAGATACGACTTCGATAAACATCCAGAGAACGGCGGGATATCGCCGAGGTTCGCTCGCAAGTTTACACCTAACCCTTCCTCGCCCAGTGCGGACAATACTGAACGACAGTTTCTGCGGGTCTTACAGAAGGTACTGTCCAGTGTCTAGTAATTGTCTTTGTTTGTGGCGTCAGGTTTGAAAATCAACATAATTACAGAAACTAATCGAAGAAAAGTTAAAAAAAAAATAAGTCGCTGCATACAATATGTGTGCTTATCATAAAGCAGTGCCAATTTTTAAAGTGAAGATGAGCATTCCATTTGGCTTTGTTTCTCAGCAGAACAGACACACACCAATCTACCTTAAGCGTGGCACAAAAAACGAACTTGTATATAGCTTTAAACTGTAGTCACTTGCGTCACGATTAGACTCAGTGAAATAACATGAGATATCCATTTGTAGGCAGTGATCGGCACTCACGGAATGAAATAAAGGTAACATGGAGGACACATGAGGCACAATTTTAGGAAAACAGAGTTTCCACGTGTATCAAGTTTAAACTTCGTACCAATGCTATGGGAAGTAACGGTTTCTAGTGTGATACTGACCACTTCCCACTTCACCAGTAGAATTTCGGTTGGTCTATAATAAGATGGGCCTGGCACCATATGTCCACTAGACCTAAGAAGTGTCTAAGAATGTTTTATCTTTGACTCACAGTGTCACGTTAAAGTTGGAGAGTTAAAGAGAAAGAAGGTCAACACAGAAGATACTAGACAGCCCGGCATCATGATATAGAAGAATTATATTGTAAATTATTCACGGTAAACGAGGCAGGACCCCTCAAAGCTCAGCCCCAGGCCCATGTCGTGAAAGACGGTAAAGGGACAAAGTAGGAGATTGCTAGGATTGGGCAAAGTAAGATGTGGCCTTGTGTTAGTCATGAAGGCCGTCCTGGGTCACCCCGAGACATCCGGTCAATGTGGCTGAGGTGAAGTTGCGACAGGCCTAACAAATCGGTAAGGAATTTTCCATCGATACAAAGAGAATACAATGACAAATACATAGACGATCAAAAGCCTGTCAGCCATGAACCTCTACAACAGAATGTTTGAAGTCGAAGTGACCAGAAGAGCGAAAAGCAGAACCGATTATCTCCCTCGACACCAGAAGCGGTAAAAGAAAAAGTGAAAAAGAAGGAGAAGACACGGAACCGACGGCTGTAGTTAAAAAGTTAGTTGGGCATCCTTTACAGGATGTTGCAGAACCGACCCGAGCATTGGCTGTTGTGGTTTTTCTAGGCAAATTACGTCCAGTAGTGTGCCTTTGCTTTCTGGACGATCGGCTTCTCGATACCACAAGGCATAAGGCCGGTAGATGGGATCGAAACCCGGCACCCTGGCAATACTAAGCGCGTGCTCAACGCCTAAGCCACAGACTCCGACGACGGCTGTAGGCAGATGTGATACCAAAGCCACGCGACAGGGCCTGCAATAAGATGTTTGCGCAGGCAGTAGTTACTGAACGTTAGTGGCTCAATCCGAACTACACTGTTGCCAAACTAGCCCACAAACCTCTCTGCCGCTTGATTTCTCAAGATATATCACAGCTGTGATTATAAAAGTTGAAGCAGAAGCGATGATCTAAATAAACAAAAACAAAAACAAGAAAGGAGAGAAGTAGAGCCAGAAAATGCAATCAATCTTCAGTGCATACGCTTGTAAGCCATCTTCTTGTTTGAAAGAAACGAGAGCCAGGACATGGCACGATGGGATGGGAAACTGAGTGTGTATTGTATGACACATCAAGAAAGATGGCTGTTGGCATGTCTGCGCATGTGTGGGAGAATGCTTTTACACGAAGAGAGTGAGAAAAAGAAAAGGATACATGCTTGTCTATTTTCATCTTTTTAAAAGAGAATGAATTCAGTAAAGAATAAACCTGACGTTTTTTATATCTATATATTTATAATGAATTCTGTAGCATGCTTTCTCAGTGACTCACTGAGCATTCTTCAGAAGATCAAGACATACGGAAACAGTGGCTCTATCTGATGCAGCATTCAGCGTTTCGCAAAATCACCTTTATTTTTTGTCACAGGCTGTGCTGGTGTGAAGGGCAGTGAGAGAGCAGACACCTGGCTGGCAGTCTGACCATCAGGAATGGGCCATCTATGGACAGGAAAGACATCATAAGCGCCTTACAGGAGATTAAACGCTATGAGGCTTTCATTCTCGTGGAAAATAAATTTCCCCTAAATAAACTGCATCTTCTAGAGGAACCAATTGGAGCAGTGAGACAGGAAAACCACGCGGGAGCCACCCCTTGTTACATCAACCAGAACAGAATGGGAGTTGTTAGTCTAAAAACTCTTGGAGATGGACTCAGGAGCAGATCGGAGCACTAGTGGTCATGTCCGATGTGCCATGAAGAATATCTTTTAATGAACAATGAACAATGAATTCATAACATAAAATAAGCATACAGTAGCATTAATAAAGTGCAGAAGTAAATGTGAACATTAAATAATTAAACAAGCCAGTCGCATTTTACGCACTTTGAGCGTGCTAGGACTATGTTGCTTATTATATTTTTATTGACCAATCGACACAAATGGGCTTCCTCTTCTTCGTCAAGCGTCGCTGAGAGGTTTTGCTGTAGTTTCATGCCTTTTGCTAATTGTTAATTTCATGTTAATTTCATACTGCGGTTCTGTAGTGTCCCTTTCAGTCTCTCAACAAATCTCTTTCTTGGACGGAATGTTGACTTGTAGCCTGCTGCTTACATTTAGTACGCCCTAGCTACTGGCTGATTTTGTTCCATTCTGACCAATTATAAAAGACCAAACCTTTTACACCATAAATGATGTAAAAATCACGCGAGTCGCTTTTACTGTACATAATATTTACGGTACCCTTTTTTAGACTGAGGTGATCTGAAAGGTTGTGTCAAATATTTCCTACGAAATCCCAGCGCTGTTATGGCTGTCTAAAATAGAGGCATTATGATTTACAAACTTACACACTACCTCTATTTCTTTGTTCGCCCTTAAAAGGTCAGTTGGCACGTTGTGGTGTTATCTACAGCTAGGCTGCGATATCTGCGCCTTTCGGCTCAACACACCTGATTTCAGCAAGTACTTAATTACTTGCCTGTTACCAAATGCTTTTTTAGGGAGCAGTGGTTATCCCAGCAGCCCTTTTTAGTGTGAACGCAGACAGAAGACAAGTTATGAGGTTGGCAGTCGGGTGAGTCATGCTTTCCATCAGTATCAACAATTTGGGTTCGTTTGTTGGACAGTCACCTTCACTGAACACAGACAGTCCTGAAAGTGCTGCAGTTTCTCTCTGCAGTGCACTCATGGTTAGTTGCGTATCCTTTACAGGACGTTGCAGAACCAACCCTAACAGCCACTGGCTGCTGTGTGGTTTTTCTAGGCAAATTTACGTCCAGTAGTTTGCCATTGCTTTCTTCACGGTCGGCTTTCTTGATACCGCTGTCGAAACCAACGCAAGCGCATGGCCCGCAGCTGGGATCGAACCCGGCATTACGAAGCGTTCGCATCGACTTAGCCACAGAGCGGACAGCGCACTCATTGGGAGACTAAAACAAGAGTGCACAAAATCCATGTAATTTAAACAGTGTAGGAGTCGAAGATAGTCCATCGGCAGTTATTATCGTTGAGACTTTCACCTGTTTCTTGACAAAGCAAGAGCGCAAGAATTTGAGAAAATGAATGATGGGGGCTTAGTGGCCCTCATAATCATATATAGAAGTTCTCTTTTTAAGTATTTCTTGATACACTTCATTTTGTTTCATAAATACCATTACAGTCATTTACCACCCCCAAAGAACAAACTGTAAAGGTCTGAGGCGCCCCCTACCCCACGTATTCACACCCACACACACACACATGCTTGATCGAAGGCATAGTGTAGTGGTGTCATTAGTTCCTTCCTTATCGTCTGTCCTTCCGGAGCAATGCCTAGAATATTATGAAAGCTTTGCTTCACATCTTGCTCCATCAGTTTCCTTCGTCTTCCTTGCCGTGTTATCTTGTAACAAGTGCACATTGTGCATATTAGCTAAAGGGAAACAAAGGGAGAATGGGGGGGGGGGGGGGGGGGGGGGGGGGGGGGTAAAATACAATACATGCATTTAATTTTGCGGTTCTATTGTTGATGTTGGTACCATTCCGCTTTTCCAGACGATAGCATTATACTGTGCAATGGGGAGGGGAGAGGCATGGGGATCCCAACCCATAGTGATGGCGATTGTGACATACGTGGAATTTCAAGACTCTTGTTGCAGTCACATGTATTTACTGCACTTCTTCTCAGACGCTCATCTCCCAACTTTTCTGTTACAACTTTTTTTTCCTTTTTTCCCCATTCCCTTTCTTACCCCCCCCCCCCCCCCCCCCACCCCCCTTTTTTTTTTTTATGCAACACATTTACTGGGATTGTATTCCCACGAATCTACTTCAATGCTTGCATCATGCTTATGCCGCTTGCACACATCTTTATATGTAGCAGGGGTCGGCTTCGTCAACTTCTATCCATCTGTAAGTCACCATAGAGGATGTCCTTTAGGATTCTGCCATCTTCCATTCTTCAGATGTGACCCAGCCACCTACTTAAGGTCATGTATTTTTTTTAGGCATCGCATACGAGAGCTATTTAGCCGTTTATCCTAGTGCGAATAAGTTGACCAGGTTTTACTGCTATAAGCAGCGTGCTGAGAACACCAGCCTGATAGATAAGGGTTTTTGTTTTGTAAGTTTTCTCTTCTCCTAAACTCTGTTTGTTTATCTATTATTGCCTTACGTATCCTGGTTTTGATTTCTTAGTCCAGTGATAGTTTGTTGTTCAACGTGGTTCCCAGATAATGTAAAATGCTCAACTGTCTGCAGCTTTCATCATCAATCACTTCTATTGTAAACGTCTAAAACCATGACATTTTCCCAGATTGTCTAATTAATTCCCATCTGATCCACAGGTGTACCAAACCATTGAGAAAAACGAAATGAGACTCGAGGACCAGGATAGAAAAGACTCAATCAAGAATGAGTGGCAGCAGCTGGCCCTAGTTATTGACAGACTACTACTGTTCATTTTCATTGTGTTCACCGCAGGAATCACCCTGGCACTAATCCTGCCTGGCTACTATGCACAAATGAGAGATATTGTTTGATGTGACTTTTCACAGCAACGTGTTTGTCTTGTGGCCGGTTTGGTCTGGAATTGTGAACTTTACCAAAGTAAAGTCAACCCACGCAGACGTGCATTTACCAGGATGTAGATGCCGGGCAAAGTTGTTGATAAACCCTGCAAAAAGGGGGGCAGTAAAGATTTATATTATTCTACAACGCAGGACGTTGTTATCTGATTGAGTTGCTTCCCTTGAACAACAGACTGCCGGACTGTAGTGTCAACGATTATGCTAATCAATGAAATATTTTAGCGTGTTGTGTGTGTGTGTACATTTTCTGCTCATTGTTGAGAATGACCTTGGTTCACACGAGATTCTTGTCTGTTAGTTTTCTGTCTCTCTATTTATGTGTTTGTGCGCGCATGTGCGTGTCATCTGCTATCTTATTAAATTCAAGTGTTTTAACAATGTAATTGCAAGTATGTGTCAGTCTTGAATGCGTTTAAGTATATATATCTGTTACTGAGTGCTCTCTGTCTTTGTATGTCAGTTTGAGTATATAAGTATGTTTGTGTGTGTGTGTGCAGGTGTGTAGACTGATGGATGGATGAATGTGTATGTTTTGGTTTGTTAATGACATGTTCAAGACAAAATACAATGCCTTTAAACAGAAGCCTGGTGTGATGACCTTGCTTTGCATGGTCTCCACGATTACGCTGTGGCAAGCAGAAAGTCCGTGCTACAAGTGACAGCACGAGATACTTGTGGCTAGTCGAGTAAGCAAGGGGAAGCCCGAGCTAGACTCGTGGTCAGTTGATCGTGAGAAGTCAGAGAAGACGGTTGTATTAGTAGAAGATGTAGTCCCTATGTCGTGCGTGTGACCAGTATTTGAATATGTCGCGAGCGATAGAAGTCTGAATAATTGTTGAAACATGTGGAATAAATGTAACTGAAAAAACTGATAGTATGGGCAAGAAAGCCGAGTGGCGGTTGTGTTTCAGTCCTAGACGTTAGAGCAGTGCGAGTAGTTTGTTACAGTAATCATAGAGAGTGAACCACCATGGCAAAAGCAGATATGCCGTGAGTCAATGTGCATGACGAGTGTCGTCGGCCTAAACAAGGTTCATTCTAAGTCAAGCCAAGGTTCATTCCACCTGACTACTTAAAAGTACAGTAGTGCTATCTCGGTATAAGTCATTCATCCTTCCAGATCCGTGGATGTATTGCAAACAAATTGTCCCTGTAATAAATAAAGGTGGAAAGACAAATTCGTTCCCATGAACAAAAAATCTCATTGTTTTTTGTGTATTATATACAATAATGGGGTTGTACAAAATAATTTAAACACACATAAAGGTAGTTAGATGATGTAAATGAAAATTTAACGTCACTTTACCTCCTTGAGAATAGTCGAATCCCTATCAGGATGATGCCGAGAAGAGAGCAGAATGAGATATTTTGATTGGAAGGAGTGTCTCTTTTCAAGAAAACTAGGAATATGAAGTTCCTGTGTTGTCTCTTTTTCCTACTTGGACCTCGTTGAGGCTCACCATGGTTGACTTTTACTAAAATAATGTTCAAAGAACTTTGCTTCTTCCTTCTCTGGAAGTTTTGGAAATGTGACACTGGTCTTCCAGACAATTGTTATTACTGCTTGTTTGGGAATTGTACTTCTCTGCAGTGCTTTGAAAGCCATCCATTTGGCAAACATTTCATTGATGAATGAAGTAGGGGGTTTCTTCTGTTTCTTCTCAGACAGGTTCAAGCACGTGAGAGGTATGGGAAACAAAGTTTGTATGGCAAACAGACAAAACAAAACAGGATTCTTGCTGGTACGTATAAACAAGAAATTAGTAACAGTGAAATGATATGCAAACCCTGAGATTAACGTTATTGAGAGAGGTCAGGGGTACAAGACAAGTCTTGATTTCTGCCATTATACTGAAAGGATTATGTAGGATGCAGTGGAATTGGACTCTGAATCTATGTGTCACATAACTGCACAATAGGATGATGATGATATGTAAAAGGTAAAAAAATAAGGTAACGTCGGGAGATGTGAATCAGCGTCACTGCGCACGGTTATAAACCATAAGTGCTCTACCACCAGTACAGACAGCTGATAAGAAACTGTCTGCCTGTGTCGCCCTCCGTATGTAACTCCGTAGCCACAGTGACGTTCCTCCAATCACCCCAGAGTGTCAACTGTGGTACCCATTTCCTAGAGGCTGGGTGAACCCTGGGAACCGCCCGGTTTCGAACGCCGACCATGTCTGCAGCGAGTCGCAGCTGGATTCAAAAGCGAGCCTCCTATAGACTGCACTAACGCACAACCCAGATGATATGTTTGCAGTAACACTGTACTTGTTACAGTGATTAATCTTTTTGCCAGATTTACTACCGTTCATTTATATTTAGCTAGAAGAAATTATTTGTTGAAGTGCAAATAATTGTAAACGTATCAGTGCTAGCTGTAAGTAAAGTGTGTGAAAACTAAATGTGAATACTGAATAGTATCAACTCATCTTTCGGTAAGCCGTATGCAAGGTAAGAAAACTACCAAGAATAAAGAGCCAAACATCATTGTGAATACAGCACTTGATTTGATTGATTGATTGATTGATGAAGGTGCAGTCTGTGTGAATCAAATGATTTGGATTCCATCATTATAACAGATTGTATGTATTCTAGGTTACTCGTTTTCACAATTACAGTTAACTAAAATATTTCTGAAGTGTTTGCAGTGAAGTAGTAGATTATTCAGGATTTTTATGTGCTGATGTGGATAAAAGATTGAGAAAATGATAAAATACAGAAAATGTATCCGTTGTTGAAAAATACATTGGTACCTCAGAATTCAAACACAATCTGTTTTGAGACTGCAATCAAATTCCAAACTGTTTGAGTTGCAAAACAATTTTTCTTTCCCATTAAAAATATCATAAATTAAATTATTCAGTTCCAAGGTCCAACAAGGTCACATTTTAAAACATATTTTCTCGAATACAGTACCCTGAAAATATGGTTCCACATAATGATCATATCTGAATAAAAACCCAACTTTTAAAAAAATTATAAAAAAATACACATAAAAACATTGTATTTACTATACCTTGATCAAGCTGGTGACACAGCACATAGAAATAGGAGGAGGAAGGTGGATTTAGGCAGACTATTGTTTGGAAGGTGATGACATCAGGAATCCTTCTGGTGTTTCATTTACTGGTCTCCCAGCTCTTGCAGAGGGTTTGAGATCACTAGTTTTTGTTGACAGCCAGCATTTCAAAGTGCTCTAATGTTGACAACTGTTTTGAATTTGTCTCAAATGTTCAATAATGATATCGCTGAATGAGTTATCGCACCTGTTAACTAAGGTTCTATCAGAGTGCCATTTCTCCAGAACTTCTGGGGTTTCTGGCCACATGGTCAACAAAAAAAAGATTTGGGATTTCTGTAGCGCTGGCATGTGCCAGGCATACGTTTTCCAAGATGGAGTTCCAAGGACAAAATTTACTGGAAAAGGTTTTGTTCAGATTCAAAATTGTTCAAATTTTGAAGCTGTCACATTCTGAGGTACCAATGTGTATTTTACATGTTACTGTATCGGCCTCTTGTTGACACATATACTTTACATGTAAATGTGATGTCTGCTCTTGAAATATATAGTTTACATCTTATGATTTGGTCTCTTGTTGACACATATACTTTACATGTAAATGTGTGTCTGCTCTTGAAATATATAGTTTACATCTTATGTTTTGGTCTCTTGTTGACACATATACTTTACATGTAAATGTGTGTCTGCTCTTGAAATATATAGTTTACATCTTATGTTTTGGTCTCTTGTTGACACATATACTTTACATGTAAATGTGTGTCTGCTCTTGAAATATATAGTTTACATCCTATGTTTTGGTCTCTTGTTGACACATATACTTTACATGTAAATGTGTGTCTGCTCTTAAAATATATAGTTTTATCTTAATGTGTGCATTCTCTTGAAATGTACAGTTTACATCTAAATGTGTGAACCTGCTGTTCACATTTATAATTTATATATAAATTGTGGGCATGTTTTTGAAATTTATAGTCTGCATTTCAATGTGTGAATCTGCTCTTTGCATGTATAGGTGACACCTAGGCATTTGATTTAACTGTTGACATTTAATTATTTGAAGCCACTGACAACAGCTATACACCTTATATCTACATGAGACAGGTTGTTGATGGCAGATGACATATAAGTGTGTGAGACTGTTTGTTAAGGTGACATATAAATGTATGAGGCTGTTTGATAAATAAATATGTGAGAATGCTGGTGGTGGTTGACATACAAATATGGGAGGTATGTTCAAGGTAGTTGACATATAAATGTGTGAGGCTGTTTGTTACAGTGACATATAAATGTATGAGGCTGTTTGTGACAGTTGACAAATAAATATGTGAGAATGCTGGTGGTGGTTGACATCAGGCTGTTGATGGTAGGTGACATATAAATGTGTGAGGCTGTTGATGGTAGGTGACATATAAATGTGTGAGGCTGTTGATGGTAGTTGACATATAAATGTGTGAGGCTGTTGATGGTAGTTGACATAGCAATGTGAGAAGCTGTTGAACAACATATACATTTTATAGAGAAAAATGTTTCTGCTAATAAAAGTTCCTCTGATTATCAGTTTGAAATACGTGATTTTTTATCAGAAAATTGTTTTATTTTAGCCTCTGTGTAAAGGACAGTGAGGGCTAGATGTACATAATATATATATGCACAATAAACATACAACTAAAAAACACCATCTCACGTGTCAGTGATATGACAAACTTTATGTTAAGACCAGGTGTATAAATTCACAGCTGTTCCATCACTACTCGACTTGCTATATGATGATTATGTAATCTCAATCTGCAATTCATCAAATTCTTTTCCTTTTTTGTTTTGTTTTGTTTTTTAATTTTTCTTAAAGTTTTTAAGATCATACATCACTATTTTCACACTGCATTTCATAATATACATGCTACAGTAAAACCTCATTACCACAACT